ATACTGTCTATACTTAATAGTCTCCTGGATACTGTCTATACTTAATAGTCTCCTGGATACAGCTACAGCTAGGCTTTCCATGGCTGGTCATCAACTGGTCTATATTCAGCCCGCATTTAGCTCATCAACTGGTCTATATTCAGCCCGCATTTAATCCCCAGTTATTGCCAAACCTACTGCAATGAACCTCTCAGTTCGTCACCTTGAGCACACACACACACACACACAATATGAGATCACACAAAATCCACACCAGAGGCCAGAGAGTTGAAGAGAGACCAGGTAAGCGCAGCTTCAAAGAATTCCAACAATTATCATACGAGCAATTACGAGTTCCGGTCACAAACGCTCAACAGCCGAATGCCAAATAACCAGCATCCACTCTCATCATCCAGGTATGTGACTCTCTCACTGCTCCTCCCTCTTCTCTCAGTCTTGGTCTTCTCTCTGTGTCTACTACCTCACTGTGTCTTCTCTCCCTACTTGCATGCACTCACTCCCTCTTCTACCTAAGAACTAGCTCTCAATACACCCCGTACTTAGACTACTCTACTTCTACTACTACTGCTACTACTACTACTACTACTATCACTACCACTAATACTACTACTACTGCTACTAACTCTAGTGCAGCTATGGCTGCCTTCTCTCTCTCACACACAATAGCGCAGCCCTCTGGGCTCAGCGCCCAGCCAGCTCTTGTGCAGCTATGGCTGTCATCTCTCTCACACACACAATAGCGCACCCCTCTGGGCTCACCGCCCGGCCAATCTCTTTAGTGCACAAGTGCAACAGCACTTCCACACTGGATGCAAATGAGCAATCTGTCCGAAAGGGGCGGGTGGCCAGTCCTTATATCGACTTCAACTGAGCTTCAACTGCTCCCAGCCTCTGCTTCTTCTTGACTTGACTTGGAGTCCTGAACCTGGTACCACATCCCCACGGCCCCTGCTTGCTTCAGAATGACAAGGCCTGCTGGTATCCTTTCCCGAATTTTCATTCAAGTTGGTGTGCCGCTGCTTGGGTCTGTGAGTCACGACTTTTTCATCTGTGGAACATGACTTTTGACTGTGGGTTGTGACCCTTGCCTCTGGGACACGACTTTTGACTGTGGGTTTTGACTGTGGGAAGTGTCCTTTGCCTGTGGAATATGACTTTTGACTGTGGGTTGTCACTTTTGACTGTGCGTTGTGACTATTGACTGTGGGTTGTGACTTTTGACTGGGAAGTGTCCTTTGCCTGTGGAATATGACTTTTTCAATATGACTCTTCAATATGAGACGTGACTTCTGCTTATAAAACGCAACGTTGGCCTCTAGGATGTGACGGTTTACCGGGTGGCTGTTGGGCTTGAGTCCTACCTACCTCCCCGGAATACAACGTACGGTCATTATAGCTGTATCTAGACTGAAAGATGCGTCAAATACAGCTATAATGACCGTACGTTGTATTTGGGGGAAGAAGGTAGTCGTACTTGAACATTTTGGACGGAATATAGCCGGAATAGCAGCTAGATACATCCCGGAAGTCCCGAGAGTGACGACGCCCTCAAAAAAAATACGACTACTAGACTCGGCTGGCTAACTTTTGTCAAAAGCTTACGCATAGGGCCTCCGTTTTCCACTACTCACCAAATGCCCAAAATGAGCATGAATCTTTCATGAATCTTTCCTTAGAACATGGAAAGATACAACCCCATATTTTTTGTCCTTCGTGCATGTCGTGAGTAGTGCAGCAAGACCCAGAGATTTCACTGGTTTTTTTTTGTTTTTTTTTTAAGTTTTCACTGGGGTTAACTACCTCCCTCTGGGTCTTTCCAGGATTCAGTCTCTTTTTTTTTTCTTCTTCTTTTTCTCAGTCTGATTTTCACTCGGGTTAACACTACCTTCTTTTTTTTTTTTTTTTTTTTA